AGCCTCAGCTAGCTCATAGGTGCCAAACAGCCCAGCAACATTTCATCCCTTCCTGGATGCCAAAAGCCTCAAGTATCCCTGCTGCACCTGCCAAAACCTCCAGCTCTGTCCTGACAACTCCTGCAGTGCAGCCTTGTGCTGTCAAAATGAGATTTTGCAACACTCTGACAATGGAAAAATCTGGATGCAGTATAACACTGAAAAACATGCTGAGATTGTCCTTTAGTTCAGTATGAAAATGAATTATRCTGTAAATATTTCCTGTGTGTGACACTTGTGCATGCTTTATTTTCCAAAATTTGAATTTATTGGTAACTTCTGTAGAACGAAAATRCATTGCAGAATTCAGCACTGAGAGGTCCGAAGCCCTGAGCCCCGAGATGTATTTTTTCATGTAGCTCTGTAAGTCCATCATTTGCCTTTTGGCTGATTTTGCTGGTGATTCTCCCTGTTTCTGAGCTTCAGCAGTTTGTGTTTCTGAATTATTCATGTTGTTATGGGTCATGGGCTCCATTTTGCAGTCAGTTTGCAGTGCTGAGGCCAAGGCAAGGAACAGATAATGTAACTGAACTAATGTTAATGATTTTAAAACTAATTAGTTCTAAACATCTGCTTAAAATAGCTGCATTTACTCCCAGGTGGTTTTTATCAGTATAAAATAGTGATGCATTGTTTTTTTTGCTCCAGGATTTCTTAATTCTGGATACATTCTTTTTAACATACAGAATAATACATAGTTTACTTTGGTACATCGAAGTGAAAGGTTTATTAAGCTCAATGACATATACAGTGCACAATTAGCTAACATTAATGCACTCGGCAATAGCAGAAATATATCAGGAAGTGTCTTGAAATCTGTTGTAAGGATACAAGTGGAAGTTTTTAAGTTAAAACCAGTCTTATTAATAATTCTTATTTGTCTGGAAATACATTTTGACYGTTCTTCTGTTTAGAAATGAAATGGTTTTTCCTAGATCTGTAGTCTTCATTCTACACCTCACTTAGAGTATACAAAATAGAGGTGTGAATCATTTTTCTATGTGACCTTAGCAGTGAAAGAGATTTCTGGTGAGTTTGGGGCAAAGCTCTGGACATGAGAGCTCGAGTTAACAGTGAAGAATTCAGCTCTGAGGCCGAATAGCACAGGCAGTGATTATTGCAGGTAAATTCTTGTTCTTTYCTGCTCGAGGATCAGTCAACTGTGCAATTTGATCCCTCTTCACCAAGGGCAGTGTCTGGAAAGAGGGATCTGGGAAATGCATCACAGAGCTGCTCAGGCAGGATATTTTCCCTTCAGTGCTGTAATTCCATGAGCTCCYTGGGTTTGGAGCTGTTTTAGGATGAGGAGAAGCAAATGGCACAGTGCAGGATTGGTGAAGAGCAGCAGAACCTCAAGCTCTGGAAGGCTCTGAGAGTCAGGACAGTGTTAATGGTATTTATGGGTTGTGAGAGTGGGAAGAAGCAATGAAAATGAAATGCTTCATCTCTGTTCAAAACACCATCAAAGATGACATTCRCTCCTGGGAGAAGGGCCAGCACTGAGTTTTGGGTGTTGCTTAATTTAGGCCTTCGGTGGTACTGAAGTGGTGTTTATACCCTTCAAGGGTTCTTTCCCTTGGATGAGTTTAATCCGAAGAGTCTAAAATCTGYGTGGAGAAGTTTAATTGTGAGAAATGCATTATTAAATAGCAACATGGCTGTGCCAGTGTAACTCCTTTTGSTGATTGTGTTTTGGACTTTGGCAAACYTGAGTGAATCAACACAAACCACTTKAGTAAACAGCTAAACAAACAGTGAGGAAAACCAAATCACCCTCACCCATAGAGCTGCAGTGACAGTGGCACAGTTCCAAATGTCCTGGTGAATAATCCTCCGTATCCCAGTCCTTCTGTGCCATCCCAGCCTTGTGTTTTTTTGTGTTTAAAGAAAAATTGTATGCTAGAAACAGTGTAAAACAAACAATTAAGGTGTCAGAGCATTTCTGAGGAGGAGCTGAATCTTTGTTACRCTGAATGCTAAACATTTACATATCCAAGCCTTATGTAATGGGTGTCTGAATAATAATAAAACTACATAAACTGACCTTCGTTCTCTGGCACCACTTCTCCTTTGAAGTCTGCATGACCAAATTCAAGACAATTATGTCATCCTTCATAACAGCCAAACAAAAGTTTGGCCAAATAGTCTTTTTTTCTCCATCTGACAGCGCTGTGTTTGATTTTTTTAATGTGTGTCAATGTAGCTGTTGTTATTTACTGGGTGTTACAGGGGACAGTAAAATCCCCTTGTTTTGGGGTAATGATCAGCCCTGTTAACATCTGGGTTTGGTTTATTTTACCTCAGTGCCCACTTTCTGCTATTCTCAGTTACTTGGAGTGGTTGGTTCCAAGGCAGGTATGGCCTGAGAGCCCTGCACAGAATAATTTACAGAACATGGGGTTACAGTGAGTGTCCACATGTGACARCAGCACAAACAGAGCTCTGCCCAGGAGGAGAGAAACTGGCACTGACACTTTCCTTTCTGTTCAAATCTCCAGTGCCACATTCAGTAAAATCCTCTGTGGACAAGACTGTCWGTGCCAGTTAAGGGCTGTCAGCAGAGAACTCAGATTGCACATTGCTGGGCTCCAGACCTCGGGGAAACCTTGGCAGGCTCTCATCTCAGTCCTTGAGGCTCTGGCTCTATCACCAACAGCTTCAAAACTTGGAGTTTATTTTCCCTTACCCCCGATCCAAGTGATCCTTGCCCAGGTCCATGTTTACTGCTGTGAACCTTTTCCTTTCAGAATGAGTTACAGATTGGGATGACAGATTTTGGGTCTACCTTTATCATATAAACTGGATTTCAGCAAAGAAGTTTTTATAGGTTTTTAGCTATTGGCCTGACTGCAGTGTTTGCATCTAACCCCATGTTAAGGTGTGGTATAGCTCCTCCCAGCTGGGTCCTGTGTGACTGTGACACCTTTTCCTGTCCAGAAAGAGCAGCAAACCATGCAGGCTGTGTTTGTCCTGGCTGAAGTTSTTTTATTTGATTCCCTGCAGTGGCTCCACCATGGGCTCACATGTGCCCATCCACACACACATTTCTGTTTGTGCTCTGTGAATGTTCCMCAATCCATGTGCACAATGCCCGTGGTGCCCTTCATCTGTTGCAGGGTTAAACCATTGCAGGGAAAGCTGTTCCAATATGGGCCAAATTTCCACTGCTGAACCATGGCAGGATTATGACTGGAGACAATAAAAACACAAAAAACTGAAGTCAAGCAAGCTGTGGATGCGGTTGTGATGTACAATAATATCCTTTTGTGTCCAAGTGCAATTAGCTCTSAGTTTAATTCCTAAATGAGTTTCCAAGCCTTTGTTGGAGTAAATCATGATGCTGGTGATGTTCTCTTTATTTTTCTTTCAGTTTGGTACCATGGTGTAGACAAATGTGATGTGTAGAGTTTATGAAACCAGACAGCTAGTAAATCAATATTATTTTGCTAGTAAATTACTAAGTCAGTGCAAGCTGCTTTTAACTCTTTCCCATGGGGCAAACAGTTTGAACTAGCTGGAGCTTAAATCAACACTGTGGGCACTGAATTAGTCAATGATTCTGAAGAAGGCTTTGTTGGCATAAAGTTCTGCTTTGATCGTCACAGTATTTACAGCTTTTTAATTAGATACAGTTCAGAACAATGGCTTTTATCAAAGCAGTTTGGGAAGTGAACAACTGGACTTTGTTTTGGGCTTTAGATGACATTCTGTCTGTTAATATCATGTGGCTGGTTGTAATACAGTGATGAAGTTGGGATTATTTTGGGCATTGTCGCTGCTTTGTCTAAAGAAAATAACTATTCTGAGAAAGAGCAGCATGTGTTGCTTTTTTAATATCACAAGTTTAATCATTTCTCAAAGTGTTAAAACCCAATAATTTGCTTTGGGCTTGCAGAGGAAAAACTAATTTTGCACCCATAAATTTGAAAGAAGTGCCTCTTTTGTTTATCTTGATTTATTTTCGTGTGCCGAGTGACTTCTTGGGAAGTGCTGAGCTTTTTTTGTCAAGGCAGAAGGCAGTTGGTTCCATTTTCAGTGTCAGACATTTCAGAGTTGGCTTCTGATATAAAGTAAACCCAGCGTCAGTGTGAAAATTCCTCAGGGGTCTTGGCAGAGCTGGGCTCTATCGGTTTTGGAATGGTAGATTGGCCTAAGAACACTTYTAAAGCTTTACGGTAAATGATTGTAAAATCTGTAAATTTACAAGAGCAAGAAAGTTAAGGAACTACTGATATATTTATTCCAGCTTCTGCAATTCAGTGTTCAAATAGAGATGCTTATCCTCTGATAAACAATTTATTTCTCTTTTTTTTTTTTTTTTTAAAGTTGACCACTGAAGTAAATGGGAATAAAAATATTGGCTGTAAATAGTTGTTTCATGAAAGCTTGGATTAAATCTTCATGTTCTGTCATTTGTGATTCTTCTGGGGCAGAATAAATATTGGTCAATATTCTCTGTCACCTGAGCAAAATACCCCACTGCCTCACTTTTATCCACARTCTGGCTTTCATAATGATGCCAAAAGCCATTACCTTATGTTAGTGGTATTTTTATGTGCAAACTATTACCACGRTGGTTAGAGAAATTGATGTTTTAATCTTAAGGTGGGTGTAATASAGGATTCTAAAAATCTTAGTTTGATTGTGCAGGCCCATGATGTGTTTGAACASGATGCTTTGTCTGTGTGTGACATTGTGGTGTGGACATGGAGGTGTTGGAACCACAGTGAGTTTGAGCAYAGCAGTTCTTTGGCAGGAGGAGCACATTGTTTACTATGGATCTTCACAGACTCTGCCTTTCCCCCATATAGTTATTATATATTAAAACATTAAATTTGAAATATGGTAAACATGCAGCGAAGTAACATAATTGGTGCTATTAATGCCAAGCAGGAAAACACATATGGAACAAATTGGTTTTGTTTCTCCTTTCCATCTTCCTTTTTTTTTCTTTTGTTTAGAGCTCCAGAACTACCCGCTCAGACGAAGATAAGGATGATTCCTGGGATGCCTGGGGGGCCTGGAGTGATTGCTCACGGACCTGTGGAGGGGGAGCCTCCTACTCACTGAGGAGGTGTTTAAATGGCAGGTGAGCCACGCTGCTCTGTGTGTGTTTGTGTGTTTGTGTGTGTGTGTGTGTGTTCAGCTCCACACTGCCAATCCCTCTATGTGTGTGTGTCTGAGTGTGTGTGTTCTCCTGCCACATTGCCAATCCCCCTGTTTCTGACACCAAACCTGTGCACAGATAAGCTTATATAATCCTGTTTTTAATACATGTTTGTAWAAGATAAAACCCTGAGCCTTTAGCTCTGAACTGTCTCATGATCTGAAATACGATTGTGGAGTAGCAGGAGTGATTTATTTAGCTGGTCAAATAGGGAGCAGTCCTTTAACTGCAATACAAACCAGATCCTGAGTTCCCACATACAGATCAGCCTTCTCTTGGACRTGGCAGAATTCAATGCCTGCTGCTCATGTGGCTGCATCAAATGCTGCTTTGACACCACAGGACAAGAGGGCAGAGCTCAAATTGCATCAAGAGAGATTCAGGAGGCATTTCTTCACAGAAAGGGTGTCTGGCATTGGAAGAGGCTGCCAGGGAGGTGATGCCATGGCCATCCCTGGGTGTTGAAGGAAATTCTGCCCCTGGCACTCAGTGCTCTGAGCTCACACGGTGCTGTTGGGTCACAGGTTGGACTCRATCATCTCAGGCTCTTTTCCACCCACGTTGATTCTCTGATTTTTCCCCTTCCAGTTGTTTCTGTGCAGTGCTCCTGGTAGCTAAATGTTGTCATGGATGAGGWGTAATGTGGCTTGAATASAACAACACCTGCAGTGARAGCCTTTAACCTCAGCAGAGAAACWGAACTAATGTAGGACTTAGTGCTGCAATCCTAAAAGTCACAGCAGTGCTCTGGGCCTGGACTCAGGCAAGAAGAGATCCCAACCAGCCCTGAGGAATCTGTGCTACCATCCAGAATTGCTTCTTTTCCTTGAATAACTCTTAAACATTTTTAAAACTGATGATCATGTTTAAATTTCTTTTTAGTTGAGATTTTTTAGGTTGAATGCAGTATTAGCCAGGAAATCACTTTTACTTAAAGAAGGCTTATAGAGTGATGTGCTAGTTAAGGACGAACTGTACGAAATACAGAGCTAATTGATGCAGAGATAATTGATTAAAACTGTTTCTTTTAGTGAAAAATGCACAAAGATCTTTGAGAAAAGTAATGGTTCTAGCAAGAGGCCTTGATACACTACCAATGTGTAAGGGACTGTGAAACAAGCTCAATAAGTTCCACCAGTATAAATTCCACTGTGGTTTTATTAATATTTTTAATGTGTTCCCCTGTGAAAAACATGTGTTTTCCATACCTTGACAAATGTATAGTTTAAAAGGTTTTTTTCTGTGTTTGATTTTTGTAGTAATATCCAGGAAACACACAATTGTGAAACCAAGTTTTCACATTTGTATGTATCATAARCATTTTTAACTTGCATGTTGTGATGCAGTGACTCTTGCAAAAGATTRGAAATTTGAGACTTGTAATATCCTGATTTTTAACAGTTGTACCTTCAGCTGAGCTGGTTGAATTCTTGCTTCAGGCATCCACTTTTTATCCTTTTCAATTGCTATTTTTCAATCCCTCTCACACATTATTAAAAAAAAAATATTTCTTATCCATTTTCATGCAAGAAGCAGAAAATTTAGTTCAAGAGATGTAAATTACCAGCTATGTGTTCRCGTATTCTTTAATGGAAGGCAAATCAGGGATTATTCTGAAACAATTTTTGATAGTAGAGAAATCACCAATTATAATTTCCTATCCAATCATTTGAAATGCATTTTCAGTTCTTCCAAAGGCTTGATATTGCCATTTTTAACRCAGCAGATTGTCTTACACTGTGCAAAAGTGCTGGTTCATTATTGAGAAGTTTGGCAGAGTTTATCTTTAAAACAAGTGTGAAACCCAACCTCCCCGGATTTATGAGACCACAATAAATAACCATGACTCTATTATATTTGTTATATTATAGCTTGTTATTTCAGCTACTCACAACAGACTGAGGGTCTGCATTGCAGGAGTCACAAATTTTGGGGACATTGTTCTTGCAGCCCACAAGAATTCTGTTTGGTTTTAAATGATCACTTTGATATTCTGATCTTCTCCTCTAGGCCAYATCCCCTTTATTAGGAATAACTTGCTTGCAATCAGCAGAGATCAGGCTTAGAAATGCCTTTTCCACAAAATAAATGTGTTTTTCATAAGGTTTGCAGTAAATTGGGCTTACGGGGAAAGTCCCACGTTCTCTGCTGAGGAGAGACAGCAGTGTAAGGAGTTGAATCCCCAGATCCCCTTTATATTTAAACCTTGTATTTTGAGTCCAGATTATGGTAGGGCAGTAGCAATAAAAGTCTGATTTTTGAGAGAATAACTAGCTGTAAAACAGGCAAGGTTGTGTTTTGCTGTTATACAGTGTAACCGTTTTTATTCTGTTTTTTAGGAACTGTGAAGGTCGGAACATTCGATACAAAACCTGCAGTAGTAATGTGAGTCTGGCCTTTAATCCTGCTTTACTCATTCAAAAATGTGTTAAAGTTTAAGAAATGCTGCTTCTTATTTAAAACCTTATGGTGCATAATTTTCTTTCCATCATTATTACCACTTTTAAACAGTTCAGTCTGCGTGACACCATGAGGTCTCAGATTCAGACTTCCCAAATGGACATTTTCTTTGAAAATTATGGTACCAATTGTGATTCAGAATTTTTTTATATCACTTGTTAGGAGAGTTACATGTTTTGGAGGATTAAAAAATCAGTTCCCTCCTTAAACTAGCAAGTGTTTCTCCTGGGGGTGTTTCAGATTGAGCATTAAACTGAGCTCAGGGTCATTTGTGATCATTGGTGATGGGGTGGGCACTGTTCACGGGAGCAAAGAGCTGCCTGGGTGCTTTTGAGACCTGAAATGGGATAACACGTGCTCACTAATTATTAATTAATTTATTAATTCCCTCTGTTTGTTTAAAGCAGCTCTGTGTGTGTCTGTGTGTCAGGATGGAGCTTTCACCACGCACTGGCTGTTGCTGTGATGCAATCACATTTTTATTTTTATAGACTGGTTTTATCAAAACCATTCACACACAGTGAGTTCAGGACTCGTGTTCCACTGATCTGCAGTGGTGCTTTGTGCTGTTTGAGCAATTGCTGCCCTTCAGCCCAGCTCTGGGCACGCAGGGKGAGCAGCTCAGGCAGGATTTTGCTGTGCCATGGGCTGACACAATGTGGGTGCAAACACAGCCATGCAGAGTGTTTTCTATTCTGCACAGCTGATCTTGCACTGAGTGTCAGAGCTGTGTCATCTATTCTGGAAAATACACTACATAGATAAGTAATWAATAACAATTCTTTTCCCCTTCTTTTTACATTCTTTTCTTAAAAAAATAATAGAAAAAAGAAGGTGGATTAATGTGCTTCTGGCTCTTGGAAAAAGGCAATGATTTTCACAAATACACCCCTGAAAGGCGAGGGCTGAGCTTGCAGTGGGTTGAATTGTGCCARATTCTGGAGACAAAACCTGTCCTTTGCCTTTTCAGAAAAAAAAAAAAAACTCCGCAGCTTGGTGCACAATGGCCTGAGCTCATAAATAAAAATGCTGCAAAAACTGCAAAAACCCCACCATGCACAGCCCCAGTGCCTTCAGTGTATGTAGGGACAGTTGTGGACACCRTTCATTTAAAGATTTATGCATAGAAATCTGATGAAAATGAAGGCACTTTATGCTTCAGCATGGAGAAAATTCAGATGATTTCCAAATCCTCTCTGAACTCCCAGGGAGTTTATCTGAAGTCACTGGAGCCTGGTTTTTAACTTTAGGACTTGTTTTAAAGCGATAAGTGGCAGGCGCCTRTATGTGAATGTGTTTGAATTTATGATGATTCAAATGTTAATTTCCAGACAGGAAACTGCCTTTGCAGTTCTGCTTTTGGGGCATGTCTGAAAGGGATCAGGTTTCCATTTCACTTCAGATACAGTCAGAATCTCTTAGGAATGGTTTTTCCGACATTATGGGTCAGATAATGAAGAACTCCTGAGAAAAAATATATTTAATGAGATTTCCACTGTTAATACAGTTGATCTTTGAAATTGGCATCACTGGATTCAAACCCCKTTTTAGATCTGAGTTAACCTTGAAATGGGACCTTACATGTAATATAAAGCTGAGACTAGAAGGCCAGTTTAGTTTCAAATTATATCATTTTCCCCAAAGCATTATTTCTAATCAATGCTTCTCACTTTGGGGGTGAAATTTTAATTTGAAAATTAAGATTTGATACTAGCTTGTTTCCATATTAACAGGTATTGCTGGTAACCACATGAGATATTCAGTATRAATACAGTGTAAAGCTGTCTGCAAATGTAATTTTGCTCTGTGATACCTTACACCACCAACATCTATATTGGGGAGTACAAATGAAGCACAACTTCATATGTGTGTCACTCTAATGAAAAGAACAAGAATCATTTTACCAGAAAATTGGTTTCATGTGGATTYGTAATGGAATAGTAGTAAGTTCATTGAACTCAAGCATAGTTCCAGAATAATATTAGTGATGTTTCAATCAAAAACTTAATTCAAGGTCTTAGCAACAAAATAATTGCTGAGATTAAGGCGTATGTGTAGCGTGCTTATCTTGCTATCATAGCTGAGAGGCCAGGTCAGGATTTCCTAAAACTGCATGTGTGCTTTCAGCCTTCCATCTAGAAACTTTAGAGAAATAAACTATTCATTGTATGCTGTTCAGTGAGATTTTCAGTCTTGCTTGCCCCCTTTTTTTAAATTTCAGTTTTTGTATATAGTGTTACATTCTAATGCAGTGATGTGCACTGTGTGGAAGTGTTTAAGTTAATCCTTTAGGGTCCTATTCACAGAACAAGTTATTTGGGCCATTTCCCCATAAATTTCACATTCCTGTGTGCCAAAAAGTCATTTATATTTTTGCCAGAGTGATCCTTCTACAGTCAGAAAAAAACACCATTTTGTAAAAGATATCCCCATGTTTAATTCCATTATAAATTTTTATTATATGCAGATAATGCTCACACTTGTTYAGCATATTCATCTGTAATTGTCCCAGCATCCACTTAACCAGCTAATTTATCCCATTCAGAAAATCTTGGCTGTACCATGTCTGCTTTCTAGTATTTCACCTTGAGTTACATAGTTTCTCTCTAATCTGTTCATTTATTTATTTTATATTTATAAAGCTGATGCACCATAAAGCTCCCTTGGCTGGGGTGGTTTCCAGCTCAGGTGTYTTTATTTCACTTACAAGTGGCCTGAAAATAGTGTAGGAAAAACATAGAACCTGAAGCTAAATTCAAACAGAAAACAAAACAATGACTTCATCAGTTTTGGCTGGGCTTCAACAAAATGAGATTCAAAGAATAAAACTAGACAAAGGGCTAGACTTGCTTTGGTGTCATCATTTTTACTGGGAATTTTCTTGCCTTCTCTTTTGTGCTTTTTTCAGTGGAGTAATTGTTGGCAAGAGTCACAGGGTCTGATGCAACCTTCACATTTTGTACATGAACATTGCCTACAAAGATACAGATTTCCCAGGTCAGCTTTGTTTTCTGAGGCTGGGGGTGCTCATTGCCAGAACTCAAAGATGCATTTTGTAAGAAATCAGCCCTTGGATGCAGTAGTTTCTATCATCTGTCACAAAAAGAACAGAAATATATATATATATGTGTTTTTAATCTGCATGGTAGTCATGTCTAAAGCATCTTTTTCAGATGTGTCTAATATGTTCATAAATCATGTCATGAATGCACTTCATTCCACTGCGAGGTCTGGCTGTGATTATTTTTGACATTTTCGTGTTTTGGGCCTCACAGAAATGTCTTCATCTCCTTTTGCAGAGTAGGAACCCAAAATGGCCTGGCCATGGTTCAGTGGGTTGAGTGAGACAAAAGCTATTGCTGAAATTAAAAAATTGGAGAAATCCTGGAATCAGTAGCAAAAATATTTAACAAATAAGAAAAAAATGGGGAATATTGAGAGGAAGGAGGGAATGGTGGAGTGAATTGATGCCTGCAATAGATTAAAAATGAAGAGAGACACAAACAAGATGAGGGCTGGGGCCCAAACATTGTTCACCCATGCCCACCAATACTCACTATTTTGTCAGCTTTTTTCTCTGATAAGGYTGAAGCTGTGTTTGGGATCAGTATTGTTAACTAATTCTTTGTAATAAGTTCCATGAGTTCGGCTGACACGTCACAATCTTTCAGTCTTCCATCCAATGAAAACAAAACTTTGTTAAAATCAGCCTCACATCTGGCTTATATGTGCAGTTGGAATTCTTGGAAGAATATCCTTTCAGTCTGGCTGTGGGCTCTTTGACACTGGACATCCTTTCAAATGAAGTCTGCAGTGAGGAATTGTTTGACACAGTAACTCCTTTGCCAGTACTTGATCAGAGTTATTCTCAAATCAATCAGTATTCATCTCCATTCCTGTCACCACAGTTTAGTATTAACATCATTGTTTGGGTGCAATGCTTCGTGTAGAAAAAGTATTTTAGAGCGTTTTTATTTCCAGCAGTTTTGATATTTGGTCTTTCAGCTGTGTGAGAGGAGGTTCAGAGCTGGAAATATATTATCAATATTTAGCAGTTGGAGTGTATTTTATTGCAATAAAATAATAACACTGCTTCCATGAAGTGAAGATGTTTTGTAATTAGGCTAAAGGATTAAGCACTGAAAGTTCTTATGCTTCCTCCTAATGATTTTTCCCTTTTCCAAGCAATATTGAAYGACTAATTAGACAAATTTTATTTTGTGGCATCAGTACCTCTTTCATTACTCTGACATATGAATTGGTGAATGAGTATAGAGATCTCAGAAATCCTTTAGGGGGAAAAGCTACTGAAAATATAAATATTGAATAGAARATATCTCCTTGTAGTCACTTGAAATATATCTATTCTTTTAGAAGCRAATTCTTACTATGGAATCAGACTTCAACTGTACTACCTGTTGCCATAAAAATCAGCAATTTTATTATCTTCTCATATCAGTTATGTCACTGGAATATTCATCATATTCTGGACTTGCACTCCAAAGCACCATAAACAGTTTTCATACACACAGTAAAACTTTATCGTGGCATCTTTGTCAAAGATCTCAGTTCTCGAGCCAATGCTGCCTGAAGAACTGTGTTATTTGTCAGATAAAATCTCTGCAAATGCAAAGTATTCCTTACTTTAAAGAAAAAATACTTTGTGTTTGTTTTCAGGACTGCCCTTCGGATGTTGGAGACTTCCGAGCGCAGCAGTGCTCAGCCTACAACGATGTCAAATTCCAGGGGCAGCTGTACGAGTGGGTCCCTGTGTACAACCACCCYGCTGCACCCTGTGCCCTCAAATGCCAGGCTCTGGGCAAGAACCTGATTGTGGAGCTGGCCCCAAAAGTGCTGGATGGCACCCGCTGCAATTCGGAGTCCTTGGACATGTGCATCAGTGGGATCTGCCAGGTATGCTCACGGGTGAATATAAATGGGCACTTTGCTCTGGAGTGGGATTGTCATTTTATTTATCAGTTTATTTATCTGCAGGCACTGTCAATTGGATTTTCCTTTTCAGGAAGCCAAAGAACCTCCTGACTGACTTAGGCATTGATACTTTCTATAAAGATAAAAGGTCAATAAAATTCATGCACTCTTCTATTTAAGCATGTAAAAATTAATGGACCTAGCTGTTGTAGATACAGCTTTCTAAACTTTAGTATATCTGTGAGAGTGTGATGAAATTGCAGAGTCTCCCATTTAATTTTATTTATTTGAGTCTCTGTTAAGGATAAAATTGGACTCTGTATGGAATCCTGGAATGGCAGGTGTGAGTGTACAGGTCTGTCCTCTTGTATGGCTGAGTGTTGAGTTTTCATGWGCTGATTGTTTGAATATTTTATTGGCAATCTACATTTCTAGATATATTTATTATTTGAGTTGTGCTRTTGACTCTACACAGTTGCTGCAAAAGCAGAAAATTAAAATATTTGAGGCTTGCCAGCCTTGCCCATGTCTGGTTATTGCAATATTGCAAAGTTTTTTTTGTTTTTTTTTTATGAACAGCAGTTTACAGAGAATGGACATGTTATTGCAATTAGTTTTCTTTCTCTGCAAGTGGCTTTTGCTCTGTTAAATGTCTAAAATGTRTGTGACTCAAAAATGCAGGATATGGCCCAATGAGAAAAATAGCTCCATTATAGGGGAAAATTTAACACATTTGGCAGAAGACTGGTGCATGGATTATAGCAACACTGACATGTGATCTGGACCTTGCTGTGGGTTTTCTGTGGGTTTTCTGTGACTTCTGTGCATGCTGCAGTTCCTGTGCCAGTCGTGTCAGCACCCAGGGCATTTGCTGCCTCCCAAACACAGAATTCCTCCCAGAGAAACTGCATTTGTCCATAGTACACCTTCCATCTTTCACACGTGGCATAAAATTCTCTTTGCCCAGGGTGGGTCCAGTTGCCTGAAGAACAATTGGGAAGTACATATAAAAGTGATGCTTTCAATKCTTCTTCTTAGCATTTTGTAGTATTCGTGTGTATGTGTGATATAACAGGCTTGGAAATGTAAATAATCCAATTTTTAGAATAAATGACATAGTGGAGAAGAAATTAATCATGTAAAAAATTGAATTAAAATTCAGTTTAATTAAATGAAGATTCGTCTAAATAACCTTTTCCTCTTTGAAAACTCTTTAGGGGGCAGAGTGAAGGGTTTCTTGCTTGTGAAGGGGGCTGGGGGAAGCCAACACAGAGCTTTGTGCTACTCTTGTTTGAGCAGGAAAACAAATTGGCATCCAATCTTACCCAGAAAAACATGGTTATCGAGGCAACTGCTCCTAAGAGAGACACAGCAGAGTGGTGATTGTCACAGTTGTGGCTGTGAGATCCTCTGTGGGGTTCTGATGGGCAATGGCACAGGCAGCAGATGGCTTGGCAAGTGTTTGCCCAGTGATGATCCCAGTGAGCACCCACCCRCCCTGCTGTGGGCACCCTCACTGCTCAGCCTGGCAGCCCCAAAAGCTGCTCTCAGGATTCTCTTGCTGCTTTTGCTCATTTATTGTGTCCAGGTTGGCTCAGCTCCCCCTCCCCACCGTGATTTCCCTTCCATCACTGTTCTGGTTCCTGGGAAGGTGGGGCTGGTTCTGTCTCTGGCTCAGGCTCTCACCTTGGCAGCAAATGAATTTACAAAGGTGGGGAATTCTTGTTCTCCAGCCTTGGGTCTGACCCTYTGCATTTCCCTTATCGAGCAAATCAAACTTACTCTATCAAAGGAAATGGAGAGAGGACAAAGCTGCACTCTGGATTGGAGGGTGAGCTCTACCCAAAGTGAAATCTAAAGACTAAGTTTGTTGGGAAGATTATTATGGGGTTGCTTGAGGCTTAACTCAGTCTAACCATTTGATGATGTTTTGGGCTGCTGCTACCCTGCTCTGTTACCAGCCCAAATATCTGGGGCTGTTGTGTTAAATGGGGACAGGTCAAAACTTCACTGCCAGGATTTTCACACTTTTGATATTTTTTTTAGTCTCTGCACAACTCCCAATTTTTTTTTTTTTCATATATGTTCCTGCTGTGCCCATCTGGCTGTGGGTGGAGACATTTAAAAACATCTGCATGTCAGACACATATGAGGGCAACATTTACCCAGTTCCTCCTCCTGCCTGRGGCCCTGCCTCTCCTTGGGGTTTGTTTTTAATTTGTGCAGTCCTGCTTTTTTTCTACCAGAATGCAGAATGGGGTGTTACTGTGCCAGCACCTGAAATGGTTACAGTGCTAATTTTCCTAATATGGAGTAATATATTTGGACAACAAATACATGCATCACCCAAAAAATCTGGAGTCCTGAGGAGCAGCCTGAGCAGCTCTGTCCCAGGCTGTCACAATTAGGTCAAAGATGATGTAAATCCTGCAGTGAACTTTCCATTCAGTGTCAGCAAGTTGTTTGGGTTCCAGAAAAGGCAGACACTGCTCTGTGCCTTGCAGCAAATGGCACAGATGAGGCTGAATCAGAACACACCGTGTCAGGGCAGTGCCATCCACTGTGCTGTGCCCACTCTGTCCCTTCTGCCATGGCATGGCCAGGGAGCATCACCCATCACCACCACAGCACCCTCCCTGCATGGAAATATGTCACAGCTTTCACTTCAAACACTCTCTGTAAGCTCTTGGAAGGCTCTTGCACTCTTTTATTTATTTTTTTAAAATAATTTTTATGCTTGAAACTTAAAATTAAAGCAAATAATTAATTTCTTTGAACCTTGACTCCTGTTTTCCTGGGAGTTGCTTTCTCAAACTGCATTTTTTGTGTACTTTTGGTTCCTGTYGATACTTTTTTCCCCCTGTAAATATGTTCAAGGGTTTCCCAGGATGCACAGGAGATTTGGTGTGCAGAGACTTAGAAAGGAAAGTTTCCTTTCCATCTGCAGTGTTACTGCAGACATGTTTCTAACACATGTTAGGCTGAGTAATTAATTCTTGAATAGATGTTAAAAACGCAGCTTTTTTTCCCCAAAACAAAAATTTACATTTTTCTCTTACTATTTAAAAAATAGAAAAAAATAATGTCTGTGTTGCCTTTTCCTCTTTTTTAGCCTTTAAATTTTGAGTGATTCATAGGAAGAATTAATTTTGAGGTAGCTCTGTGTCAAGTCAGCTSTTATGGTGGCATTCTTGCCTGGGTGCCATTAATAAACACTGGAAAGGTCTTTTGGAATAATTTGTTTTTATTTTGCACTTCCCACTGCTGCTAGAGACTGTGTTTCTCTTCAGGATTTGTCTTATTCTCTGTCCTACTGTTTCTTATGGACAATGCTCTCYGTAGGGATTTCTTTCTGTGTAAATTTAACCTTTCTTGTCAGATGAGGAGYGGATTTTTTCTAATCTCCAGTTCCTTATCTTTATTTCTTTGTTCATGAGYGATTCTCTCTGCCAAGTTTTGTTTTATTTTAGAGAGCTCTGTGCAAATGTGGCTTCACTTCCCAGCCTGGCAAGGATCTAAATCATGTGAGAAATGATAGCAAAAAMCCTCATCCTTTGGGTGTCATCTTGAAGGTTTAGTAACCTTCAAATCCCCCAGTGCCAACTTCATCAGATTTGGCTGGACCCAACCAGAAAAGGAGCAAATTAATCTGCTGTCATATATTGATTTATTTTTCTCACATTCTCACAGTCTCACAAACAAGAATCCCACTGGGAGTTTGTGTCCTCTCCTCTTTTTGTGTTTTGTTTTGTTTTTTTTTTTTTTTTGAAATGGAGACCATGTGGGAAATGGTGCTTTCTCCTGCCGGGTGGTCCTGTAATCTCTCAGCTCCTCCAGCATGTGACAGATCCTGCAGTAAGAGTTCAAGGTTTTGGAAACACTTTGTTTTATTTGATGGAAGTGGATTTACAGAGTTGTGGAACACTCTTTAGCCTCCTGCCTTCAGATATAAAATGTCAGCAGAAATATGTGGAAAGTCTTTTTAGGAGCCCTTTAGTACTCAGTGAATTTTATGCACTGTATTTTTTTTMTTTTCTGGGKTTTTTTTATTGCTTTACATTCCTTTCCTCTGGATGGATGGCTCAGGAATTTGACCATCGTGGAGCGTCTCCTTGTGCCCATCACCTCCGTCCTGAGGTTTGCATTTTGACACATTCCTGATTTCCTACCTGTCAGGAACTGAGAATCCCCAAGCAGGGAAGTTTTCCTCCCCAAACAGAGGTGGTTTTCCTCCCCAAACAGAGGTGGTTTTCCTCCCCAAACAGAGGTGGTTTTCCTCCCCAAGCAGAGGAAGTTTTCCTCCCCAAACAGAGAAGTTTTCCTCCCCAAACAGAGAAGTTTTCCTCCCCAAACAGGGATGTTTTCCTCCCCAAGCAGGGGAAGTTTTCCTCCCCAAGCAGGGAAGTTTTCCTCCCCAAACAGAGAAGTTTTCCTCCCCAAACAGGGATGTTTTCCTCCTCCCAGAAGGAAACAGAGTCTGGAACTGGAAGAGCTGTCAGTGCTGCGTGGATGTGTTGAGCACTGTGTTATTATATCCCAGGAAATTTCCTCTGCTTTCTGATTCACACAGTGGCCCAGTCTGTTTCTGTTTCTTAAATGGTGTTTATATTAATTTCTCGAAATTAGTTGGTTATAAAATGGGAAGATAGGCTTGTTTATATTAATTTGTTTACAACCTTTTTCTTTTTTTAATTTTCTGGATGTCAACAAGGAATGCAGAGCTATTGCTAGAAACAACTTCAGGCAGAAATATTTTAATCTGTAATCTAAAACTAAATTATAGTTCAGGGTTCCCACATGGCTTCTGTGTGGCAAATAAGCACCTGTTCAGAGATGGTCTGATTCACACAYGTGTTAATTTGCTTCATTTTTACAACTAACTTTTTGTTAAAACGGAAATGATTTAATGTCAGGCGGTTATTTATTTTTAGAATTAATTCCTTGCTGGGCGACATAGGATTAAGATCCCCTTTGGTTGCAGGAATAAAATAATTTCCTGCTGTTAATGAAGGTTTCTGTGGTAGATCTGATGCCTTCCTGCAGCAGGTTCTCAGCTGAAGTGCTGTGAGTGACCCCATTAATGCCCTCCCTAAGGGAGCTCGGGGTGGGGGGAATTGGGAAAACAAGGGACAGGGGCTGCAGGGGGAGCTGGGGCTGCTTTGTTTTCTTTTCCATGGGCATGTGAARCTGTGAAGTTGCATTTCTCCGTGTTTGGCAGTGGCTGGGTGTGATTTGTGTGTCTGAGGAGCCAGCCCTGCTCGTGTCCTGGAYCCTCCTGTGTCCCCCTGGCTCTGTCAGAGCTGGGTCCTGGCAGCTCCTGCCCTTCCCTTTTGTACAACAGAGGCTGCCCACTTGCACAATTCTAGCACTGCTCTTTACTGGGACTTTCCAGAGGGTTTTCTATCCATGTGTCAGTTTGGATTTTCGTTAAATATTTACGCCTGTGAAAAATTAGCTGCCCTTCTGAGGGATATGTGAATGTAAGAGGTGTGTGGGCTGGCTTGAGCAAGCTTGAAGCTGGAGATCAGCTTTTTACCACATTGCTCCTTGAAAAACTCCGCTGTGAAATGGTGAAGGGTAAGATGGGTGAGGCCAAAATTTATCTTCCATTCAGCAGGGAGGTGCTTTTAATCAATTTTGTCTATTCTTTGTCTTTCCATTCTCACTCCCATCCTTCTCRGAGTGAAGAAGATCCCATCCTTCTTCTTCAACAATTCTTGTGGAATTGACTGGCACAAAGAAAAAGAAAAACCTGGAAAAATGTTTTCATTGTAATCTGGAGGGTTTTCAGTTGACAGTTCTTTTAAAAATTGCTTTYTGAATATTTGGCAGTGTGTAAGTTTGGGTGTTTCTATAATAATGGTTGGAAACTTTTATAGCATGAGTCTAATATTCATAAACCAGAAAAAATCAAAAGGTGAGAAGTGAWTTGTCCAAGTTTTTTAAAAGCTGGTTAGCAAACGTATCTGTAATTTACATTGATGTAAATGGCAAATAGATCTACACAAGTGTCAGTTAAATTTTGAATGGCCAAGGCTCTGGAGTATGTCTGTGAAGCTGAAATGCCCTTTAAATTTTTAAGTTGGATTATTTTATTGCATTTATCCTTTCTCAGAGATAATTAAACAGTGATGAAAAACRAAATGTAAATAACATTGTTATCCCTTGTGTTAGAAGGAGTAATGCTCAATGGTGTTCATTCACACAAGTGGTGGGATATGGATTTATGTATTTTCTATGCTTGAATTGCTTAATATATCAGTTGTTGTGGTTCATCATTAAAATCGTGGAAATGACAGCATGCTTTTAAAATCCTAAATGGCAAGATACGCTTTGATAGAATGAGGCCAACCCATAAAATCAAAAAGATAACACAATAAATGAAATTGCAGAAAGCAATGTCTGCTCCATCTCTGCCCTCTGATGTGCTGTTGGTGTTGGCAGGCAGTGGGCTGCGATCGACAACTGGGGAGCAACGCCAAGGAGGACAATTGTGGGGTCTGTGCAGGGGATGGCTCAACCTGCAGGCTCGTCAGGGGACAGGCTAAGGCACACGGCTCACCAGAAAAAAGTAGGTGATAATTGCTCCTGTGCTAATTGCTCCTGTGCTAATTGATCCCTGACTGTGTTTTCTGCTGTGTAGTAGTGTGTGTATTGACCTTTTGACTGTGTTCTTGTTTGCAGTTTCACAAAGCTCCTTATTCCAAAGTCTGTGCTAGATTAGGCTGTGGAAATTCCATCAGGGATACCACACATTGGGGTATAGCTAGGAAAGAATTTGAGATATGCATTTGTTTTTTTAATAGAGCTACTCAATTTGTTCTATCAGGAATAACCATCAAGATGCACATCTTGTTTTAGAGGGTATCCTCGTGTTGCAGTATGTGTGATGCTGCAGCAGTGTTTTTTAATCATGGAAACATCTTATAGATGGTTTTATGGAAATAGTGGCCCGTGCTTGAAAGTACCTGGTTTTCAAATTAACTTTGATTTTTTTTTTTTTTTTGTGGTGTCTGAAGACAGTTGAACTTCAGGGGCAAGTTCCTACTCGTATGGTACAAAAAGCACACAGTGAAAGGGACAAATACTTCCATCTCTTTTTTTGTGTGTTTGGCTCAAATGTTGCCATTCTTTCTCACCATTAACATCTTACTGGGAGTTACTCTGCAGGTTTCAGTAGTTCTGAAAATATGAGTATAAAAGAGTAAGGGCATTGGAATTAGAGCCTTACCAAAGAGTCTGGCTGTGTTTGCCACACCAAACTCCCCTCTGGCCTGGTGCTTTCCACCGTCAAGCACATTTTTTTTTCCTCTTTGGGATCAATGAAGATGGATCTAGCAACCCCAACTGTCAAGGTTGCCTGATACCTCAGTTTATATGAAGGATTATTTGACAACAGTTGTGTCAGAAACCTTTCATGCCAGGTGCTGCTATGTGTTTTGGAGAAAATTCAGCCAAAACAACTCAGCATATTCTGAGGACATAGAGGAGGAAAACATGTTGTTTCCCACTGTCAAAACATTCTTGAAACCTTTTCTTTAATATGTTTTAGCATCCCCSCGTTGTTGGACTTGCTCACAGATCAGGGATTTGAGATTTGGCAGGCAGTGGCCTTCTGGTCATGGATAAATCTTTTGCAATGTCTGTGAACATCAACACACATTTTACTACAACCTTTACAAAAAAATCCCAACCTTTCCCTTCAGCTTCTCTGGAATGAAATTTTCTTCTTGGATCTTAACAGCTGAAGTTTGTGAAAACTTTATCCTTGTAAGTGTTCTCTAGCTTGTTACAAGTTGTAACTGCCCAGATCACATGAGTGCAGTTTCCTTAGAATACACAAACACGTTGCTTTTCCAGAAATAAGCTGTTTCARATTTTCCTTGGGTTGTTCTTGTTTCTGCTTTTCTGCAGTGTGGAGCAGGTGCCATGGGATGAACTCTGTGGTGTCTCCCACCTCACATTCAGAAGAGATTTTGTGAAGAGCTTCTCATCTCCTGAGCTTCAGGCTCATGGCTGGGAGTGATGAGATCCCATGAGGAGAGGGAAAGATGAGATGAGCTGGACAGAAAAATGTGATGTTTGCTCCTGCAGTAAGGAAAGGGACACAGGGGAAGGTGGTGCAGGGTGTGGGATTGGCTGTACACACACACTGGGGCAGGAAAAGAGGGACACAACATGACACAACATTAGATAAGGAATCTGGGTGGGAGATGGAGTGAAAAACACTTGGAGAGGAAGGGGAAAAATCAACCATGTGTAGAGCCAGAAGAGGGAATTGGGACTGCTCTGGCAGGAAATCTGTGTKGGGAGAGAGGGAGGGAATGCCAAGGCATCAGCAATTCGCTGTGGATGAGGAGCTGATTTCATCATGGCCCTAACATGCTGTTCCTCAGCTCACATCACAGAGGGCTCTTGGAGAACACAAATTGGAATTTTTTTGGATGAAGCTCAACCAGGAGATGCACCCACAAAAGCACC